TGGCACAGATTGTCAAGCACTTCCTGCAGGGCCGTATCTTTATATTTCACGTACCTCTTTAGCCAATACGATATTGCTGGTTAGCATGATTCTGCATAGCAGCAATAGTTACGTTCAAACCTAGTGTGTTTTCCTAATGCATTCTGACACACAGCAACAAAACACGTTAAGGCACAGTAAGATGCATCGTCTGCCGCTATATCATCCATAAAGCTAACAGTCGTTAACAAATGTAGGAAAGGGCTTTTGCAACAGTGTTTTTGTTTTGTTCTGTTTTTTTTTCACCATTCTGAGTTTTATTTTACATGAATGTTGCAGCCCAACATAGGCAGCTGACACAACACACTACTGAAAAATTGAGGCTTGGGCTGGAAAACACAACAGACCTAAGAATAGCTTTTCTCAGAAGAAGCTCTGTGCATGAGTAGTAATTTTCCAGTACCAATTTTCATCACTGCATCATTTCAAATTATGGGCAGCTAGGCTCTGTCACAAGGGGAAGCACTGTACTTATGAGCCCCAGCAATTTCAGTGCAGTTATTTGAGAAATAACGTACTAGGAAGAATATCAGGCCTTTTGAACAGTGTGCTGCAGTGACTTTGCTTTCAACTTAAAGAACAGACTGGCAAAACAACAACAACAACAAAAAAATCAAAGTGGCCAAACACCTGGATAGGTATTTTTTACTCAGTCATCCCAATCAATAGCCTCCAACTGACCGGTGACAACAGAAATACAAGACTAAATGACAGCAACGTCTCCTATACTCTCCTCAAAAGTGAAAATTGGTACTAGTTAAAGAAAGCATAACCAAGACAGTCTCACTTATGGGTGTGCTTCCATTTTGGCATAAATTATGGTCTTACAGTTATAGAACGTTTGCCTTCCCAATGCAGACATTATCCACAATGCCAAATGGAAAACACAAAATGCATCTAATTGTTCCATTTTCCTTATTATTGCCTTTTGACCCAGACCCTTGCAATGACAATTTACTGTTACTGTAGGGAAAACCACTGCCTCTTATAGAGGAAAAAAAGTGAAATTTAAAGCAGTGCTTAACCTATAGATTCCTGTGAATCATTCTTCCATCCCCCAGTTCAGTTTGTGATTTGCATTTAAAATGTTTCTTTTAGTTCTATTAAAGTCCTGTGGTTAAAAAGATAATCAAGAACAGAAGTATAGATTGATAAAACGAAGAAACAAGTATGCAGTTACCATAAAACAGCTCTCTTCTCTCCCCTCTTGAGAGCAAAAAGGGTAGCAGCCAATGCTGACCCAAAGCATTCTTCTTTTCCAAATAAACCCTTCATATGAAAAAACACAGAAAATGGCACTGGCAGTATTGAATCTGTCTCTCGTGATCATTTCAGGATGGTAAACAAACTCCTTTTATAATCCTTTTACGTTTCTTTTATGAAATTTAAATAAAAACCTCCTGCTTTTTGCCAGTTGAAGATACTTTAAACAAACATTTGAAATATCAAATTAGTTGACTTCAAAATCCAAACTTGCCTTCATATCTGTCCATTCCTAAAACAAGCCATAAAAATATATCTGCACTTACTCCTATGCTGTCGTTCAAGGGTATTAGACTACTCGCGCAATACTCCTCACTAGGCAAGATTGTTTACACAAGACTTGCATTTAGAGAGAATCTAAAGAAGATATAAATAGTCTATGTTCAGTGGCTTCTTATTCAGTAGTCCCTGTTTTTCCAGGGCGAACAGTTCTCTTTTCCACATATTGGGCCAGGGAACTCACTGGGGTTTTCTTTGGCTTTTAAATGCACTTTCTCCATACTTCTTTAATTTTTATCATATTTTCTCTTTACCAAATGGATTTCACTTTTAAGCAATTTCTAACATTTTATTTAGAAGCAAATCTTTCATCTCCATAAAACGCAGGTCCTTGAGACTATTGGTCTGGAAGAAAATTTTGCTGTTGCAGCTCTAAACATTTATTTAACTGGCTTCCTTGTTAAGTAATGTCACTGTGCGAATCTCAGTGAAACAACGGCAGAACTCCCAGGACTCGCATAAGTCGTCTATATTAAGATATATATCCACATAGACTGATTCAAGAAACCCAGACCAAGAAAGGTCGTATGAAAGTGAGAACACAGACCTTATTTTATCCGTATATCTTCTCATCTGAAAAAAAAAATCCCTATATTTCCTCTCCCTGTACAGCCAGGCATTTTACGCAGCGGTGAAGTGAGATCTAGCTGTCCCATAAGCAATGGACAGCAAAGCTGAACGTCTCACCTTATGGGATCAGATCAGATAAGGGAAGTTGAGAATCTGTCAGCTACATATTTGTAAAACCATCTCTTATTTAACGTACCGCAAAGGGTAAAGCTCTGCTGAGCAGTGATGAACGAGAGTTTCAAGACAGCCGAAGTAAAAGTTGATATCTACTATGATTATGCAAAATAGTCTACTCTGAGGCTATCTTAAGACCAGGAAACACAAAGAAAGGCAGAAAAAAATGCAAAGTGTGCAGATTTTCTTTTTTGATTCCTAATGTGTTTCTACAGCACCTGTTTAGTGATACATCATCATTACTTATTTAATACATGACAGACACGCATTGTACCAGATACAAAATACATGAACTGCTACATACAGTTAATGGGTGAGTTTATTTTACTAAGAAAACCCTGCAAGCCCGATACAGGGTTATTTCAGTCGTTTTGAAAGTACTTTCAAGTATTCATACCAATCACTGGATTTTACTGTGAGTTTTCGATGTTTCACTGTAATAGGTCCCACTTAAAAGAAAATTAGCTCTCTGCCCCTTGAGGCTCTGCAAAGACCACAAAGTCCAAAGTCCTACAAAAGCACGAACACAAATGAAATCCTCCTAAGCTCAGTAAGATGTTAGCAGTGGGATACCTCCGGGATCTATGTTAAATTGCAAGTGGAAAAGCCATTACCATCAATGAAGGTGAATTAATTTTCATCTTGCGAGCAAGTAGCCCTTTCAAACACTGCAACTACAAGTGACTGAGGAATTAGACTAAATAATTTACCAAAATAAAGAGTGCTTTCAGATAATGGATAGTGTATTACTGGACAGAATACCCTACTGGCATATAATATAGATAAATGTTGTTTGAAACATCAAAGACAAGAGCACTGATGTAAGAATAAAATGTTGATTAGAGGCACAGATTACAGATTATTAACTGCTGCACTCTATGTGCCTAAGGACTTGAAGTCACTGTATAAATTGGAAGACAGGGGAGGAAGAAAAAAAAAAACATACAAAAATCAGAATTTCCCTGCTTAAAGAAGTACATTGCAAATGACACTTCCAACTGGATATTAAGGAGATAAATCCAGCAAAAAATAGTTATCATCTTTCTGGAAACTATTCAGTCCCTTGTAAAATACAACCGTAATAGACTAAGATTCAAAATCTAAAGTCAAAATCCATTCCCTCATGAATGTGACTTCACTGAACAAACAGCAAAGTACACCTTTTTAGAAATACAAGCTACCAGAGGGATACCGCACAAGTCTACCAACAGCATCAGCACATCCTATTCACTGTATTTGAAACAATCATAAGTAACTCTATTCACTCTCTGATTTCGCCTAGAAAAATATTGGAAGTATTTGAATTATAATGACACTTTTTGAAAACACAATGAAGCACAAAACAAATCAGTAAAAAGTACAGCTATTATTAAATAACATTTTCATAACATCCTTAGCTTTTTCAAAGTATGAAAAAATAGTAGTAACCAAAACTTAGTCTCTGTCTTTCAACAGAAAACCTTATTGTCTATGATAACATTTTTTTAAGAAATCTGGTTTACCTGTTCATGAGGTAGAACATCAGTGTTATTCACAGAGAAAAAAAACAAACAAAAACAAACCTCTCCTGTCTGAACAGCTCAGCAATAGGAACACCTGTTTCATACCACTAAAAGCACAACAGCACGTTTTTTGTTTTGTTGTTTTTTTTGTTTTTTTGTTTTTTTTTTTTTTTTAAATATGTTCTTAGGTATAACAAGGATCGCGTTGCAGATAGTAGGGATTAATGGAAAGCGGAAAGCTTCTTACCAAGTACCCCAAGGCGATAGTTGACTGTGATGACTATCACATTCCCATAACTTGCTAGAACACTGCCATCATATAAATTTCCAGTGCCTTCCATGTAGGACCCTCCGTGAATATACACCATCACAGGCTTAGGTCCCCCACTGTCCCGAATGTCTGGAAAAAATATTAAGACACATTTTATCTCAAGAAAGTACCAAAAAAACAGATACATGCAATATTTTAATTTTTTTTTAGTGAGGTTATTTTTCTCGAAGTGTTTCTCAAGCAACATCTTTTACATAAGGAAAAGGGCAGGTGGGTATAAGTGTTTCTTTGTGGCTTGCTAGTAACTAAAGCTTGTATTTTTGAAACACTTGTTGGCCTCAGAAAAGCAGAAGGGAATCGGAAACGGTAACACGTTTGCTCAAATGCAATGGGACAGTGGTCTGATTCTGTTCCCGCTGAATTTGAATAAAATATCTGCTAACACCAATGTGAGCTCTTTAAGGCAAAGTCTGAACACTTCTGAAAGCTCAATCCATCTTTCTGTTCACTTAGGTAAAGGCAATTCACCATGTTCAGATACACAAGATTTCTGCTCATACATAAGTTGATGATTGCTTCCAGTATGGCAGGATCAATAATTTATAAAAAGGGTGTATAAACAGCTGTCTTTTGATAAGTCTGAAGCCCAATGTTTCAAAAAATACTTGGAAGCTGTTTAACACTTAGACCTGAAATTATTATTTGTAACCTGGGTAGCCTGAAGTTTAAGGAGCGTGGGTACATCTTATTTCACTAAATTGTGAAAAGGAGCTGCCAGGAACAATGTTTATAAATCCCAAACAAGGAATAGTGTGGTTCTCAAAAGTGACACTCAATCTAGGTAACAATTTTAAATCTCAGAAGGTCTACTATTTTCTCAGACCATAAAATTATATATAGACATATTGTTTTGAGTTTCTTTTCAATTAAGACATTGATTTGGGTATCTGCCCCCCCTCAAATAGTCCTATTTGAAAATTAATGCATCTACTCAGAATAAGATTTTTAATATCTGAACACCACTTCTCCTTGTGAGGAAAGTTGTTAAGTACCAATTCAAAGCAACAGTTCGTGGTGGGATAATGTATGTTTCTAAAAGACTTTTCTTCTGTTGGACTGGAAAGAAATTAGCTACAGTGTAAATCTAAATTTTTACATCTGCATTAAATTGTATTTTGACCTCATTTACCAGGTGCCTAAGTCTTTTCCACTGCCCAAGTCACAGTATTCTGTATTAGTCCCTAAAAATCAAGAAAGACAATAACAAGAGAAAACTTCCCAATGAGGTACTGTACTCCATATTCTGATTTGAAGATTTTTTTTGTCATTATAACAGTATTCAAGGGGCTTCCCTGATTACTTTCTCCAGTATTTAAAGAAATTTCCAATGTATTATTTAATACTTTGATTTAGAGGAATCTTAGTTAAGGTACTTTCAAGTAAGCTATCTGTAGAATTACTTGAACCATTTCTGAAGCACTGTAAGGACAACTAGGTGAGGGCAGTTACACCAAAAGCCTTGCTTTTTGAATCTGCTGAAAAAGATCAGCACGGACACTTATGCTTATAGAAAGCCAGTTGCTATTATTATTTTGATATTGATTCTAATTCAAAGAAAATGCCAGAACAGTCAAGATCAGAAATTGGATCTTCAATATTGGAAGTACTAGAACAATCATTTATCCAAGACCAAAAGGATGATGAAAGGTTGTGCATGAAATTGCTTGTATTGCTTTCCTCACTCAAGCTTATAGTAAGGGCTTTCCAACATGCAATTTTCAGAGTGTAAAGCTAAGGGGATTATATATCTTCATTATCCATAGGACTGAATTATGAGCTCCTGAGGTTTAAAATCTACACAGAGGAAAAAGTCTTTTCAAATTCATATACTGTTTTCAGTAGATCATTTGTTCATAGTCTATGCTTTTTTTAATACAAATATGGAAGCAATAATAAATTATTAATCTGAAATCACTGTGTGACTGTTCCCAGCAGAAATTGTACACGGTTAATTGTGTGCTTGGTGGTAGCACAGGGGGAGACTGTCTCAGAATTCTTCTTTAATTAAAATTACATAGAATTACAGAGCACCAACTGTGAACAGTAATGAAATGCTGGTAGTACTGGCCTGTTTATCTGGAAAATAATATTGGGATATTTAGAAAAGAATAGGTGTCCTTTATCTGAGAAAGGAAGCACACATTCATGAGTAAAATCTAACATATAAAGTTGTGATTCTCTGAGTATATTCTGCCTAGACCATATTTTTATTATTTCCTATTACTAATATTCTTGTAAAGATTACATACACGTTAAGAAAGACTAATTTTCAGCTCTATGTGCCATGTTAGAGCAGATAAATTCATACTGCATGTTTCCTCATGCTGCTTTGCCAAAGTCATCAGTCTTAAGAGAAATTCCTTCTACAAAAGAAAAATTGTGTTTCTGTGTGGTTTTCAGGCAGCAATCTAGTACTAGAGACATCCATGAGGTTATGCAGTATTCAGCTGAGGCTAGTGGGACTTTGGGCTATGGATCGTACAGAAGCTATGGAGCTCTTCATGTGCAGAGAGATCACTGGATTTTGGTCTTACAGTCAGTGGTTTTATATCAACTGCAGGCTACAGGTAAGAATATTTGAAAGGTGCAAATATTCATCTGGGACAGTACTGTTTAAGTGCAGACATTATTAACTAGTAGATGTTATTAAATAGTAAGATCCAAGGAAGAGAGCAAATAATCAGACCATAATGAAGAATTGATTCCTACTTGAACAAGAGTAAAGGTTCCCCCATGAAAGATATTATCCTTTAAAATAAAAATGGAGGAAATACTAAGATAATACTCTGTAAGGAGAAACTTTGTATTGGTACAAAAGTGGCAGAAAGATGCACTTTTCAAAAGTGCTTATTGGAGTTAAGTGTCCAACTCAGCAGAGAAAATAATAGAGATTTTGACACTCAGATACTTTTTCAAAACCTCGCTCTTAATGATTTGACAAGTCTTTCATTTTTTCCTACAAGTTGCTCCCTGTCCTTTCTGCACATGCGCTGGAGTGGTCTCAGTAAACTGTAGTTACACTTTCTCACAAAGATTAATAGTTATTCACAGGTGCAGATTAACAGTTATTCGTGCAAGTAGCTCATTCTGAACAGGCCTGAAGAACAAGAGTGCAAGTGTCACATGTCTGTGACAGAAGTATAGATCTACATACTGATTTCATTTAGTTGCGTACTAATTTTTCTGCATTTTATGAAGTGTTGCTTCAACTAAGAAGCAGACACATTAATATCTTCAAAGGGGTAGTGCTGTTCAAAACCCTGCTCAAATTCAGCTCTTCTGTTTTTATCCACACAGAAGATAAGTTTTGAGTGCTGTCATTTGTTTGGCTTTAAATTGCTAGTTCATAAAACCTCTAAGTAGGTCTTACTGTATAGCAGAGAATGATCTTATTTATATGACATATACATGAACTTTCTTATTACGATTTGCATCATCTCCTCTCTTCTGTACCTTTGTAATGTTTGTTGCATCTACTTTTTATGTCTGGTCTTAATTACATTACAAGCAATTTAGGAATAGGGCTGTCTTTTATTCTGTGTTTGTTACATCACACAACAGGGAACCGGGTCTCACTGTGAATATCAGTCACAATTGTCATATATAACAAAACATAATTATAGCTTCAGTCATTGGAAGCTGACGTGAATTGGCCGTGTGACTTAACAAGCATAATTTGCAGGGAACAACCAAAATGGGAAAGGAAGAAAACCTGCCTGGAGACAACTTAGCACAAAAATATAATTAGTTTAGCACAGATGTCACAAGTAGTGTTTTTCTAAATGCTATAAAAAATGGTGACATTTTGATGTAGACTGTTCAGTAAATCTTGGGTTTTGAATATGAAACAGTACAAGAATAGTGGAAAACTTTTAGATTGGTTACTGTGAAACCTTTGTGTTCCTTATTTAAAATATTATATGGATATGTGTACCTCTTCCATAAGCTTTTGTCCTAAACATATTTAAGTAGAGCATGGTACCAATCAGTGTGACTTTTGCTTGTTTAAAAGCCTTTTAATAGTATTTGATCTTTCAGTTCCAAATCTATCAGATGCCTCATAGATGCACTGCTATTTTAATAAGCTAGTACCCTTCTCAGTGCTAATACGTAAACATCAATTAATACCCTGTTTTTAGCATGTGATATTAAACTAGATGTTCTGATATTATTTAAATTAACCACTGAACTTCTGTTAGGAGTGACAGTGAGGTTTTAGAAACGTTTCATATTTTAAAATACAGCACCCTTCAAGTTTCAGACAAACAGAACTATCTCCTTTTTTTGTTTGTTTCTGTATCTGTCAAACCAATGGATTATTTTGTGCAGTCTTGAACAGTTAGCTACCTTTACCTGACCGCGATTCAAAAACCTGATGGAAGACTATATGAATGTATATTCTAACATTAAAAAAGGCCTATGCTTTTACAGGTGAGCATCTGGAGCATATTTTCAGTAGAGTAGGACCTCAACAGCCAGGTAGGTAGTAATTTTAAATTATTAAAAGATGACGTTTAGAAATGCAAAAGCTGACAGACTTGTCACTGTACATGCAATGCTTGGCAGTGCTAAAAGTATAAAGGAGCCCTGAAAAGATGCTTAAATTAAAGGTCTGTCAATTTTTACTATGCACATTTTCAAGTACTAAAAACATCACTGCAAAAAATTCAGTGTAATCTGAACTGAGGTTCTCGACATTTAATATGCAAGTGACATTGGAATCTGCACTTTGGAGTTGGAATCACAGAACTAACATGAATGTGTGACAGGATGAACAGGAAGCATAAATATGTCTGTGTGTATCAGTCAAAAAAGTTCATCCAAAGTGGTAAGATCTGCGCTACTCCAGCCTGGCTGGAACTCATTAGAGGCTATAATTAAGGCTGGAGCATGTGGCTGCTTTGCGAGGTAGACAAATGTGTTCTGCTGTTTACTGAAGTCCAAAAATGTACAGCTAGTGCCAGCCGAAAAGATTGTTTCTCTCCCCATGTCTTACCATGACAGTTGAAAGCAGATGAAATGCTAAACTTAGCAACCTAGCCTATTTTAATACTAATGGAGTGATAGGGTTTTTTGGAGACGATCCTCAGTTCTGAAATGTGCTCATTAGCACCAATGACACTATAGTCTCTTAAGCATAAGAAGGGATTTGCAGATGCATTCTGCATCATTAGCAATTTAAAATTTGAGTGTATTTTTGTTTTGATTTAAAACATGCTCTGGACCAAGAACTCCTTTCAGTCAATGAAGTCCAATAGCCCACGTAAGACAGAGCATCAGACTAAATGATCAGAATCACCACAGTAACAGCCTGTGAACAAACAGCAACATCTGTTCCTAATCTGCTCCTTTTTCACAGGAGAGATTGGAATGGAGAAGGAAAGAGTAGAAACATCTATCTAGCAATTACAGTGCAGACCCCACTCCTGAGGTATGTACTCTCAGTTCTCTGCTTTACTATGGACATGGTGTCTGCCTTCCTCAAACTCAGCGTCTGTATTCCTCATTTCTAAAAATGGAATAATAGCATTCCTCTATCGCAGAGGGATGCTGTGAGACTGAATACATTAAAAACTGAGAGACGCTCAAATAGCATTGGGGACTAAATAAGGATCCAAGACTGACAGACTGATGTGCTAGGTAAGGTGTGTACGACAGAACAGTGGATGAGAAGAATTCATTTGCGAGCAATCCTTCATGGGTACTTCATACAGCACTAACTACCTAGAAGTCCAGTTCTGATCCCCGAGTACATAGGCTGATTAATGATTTGTGGTTCTGTATTTTAAGTCATGCTAAGGATTTCAGTGTATGGGAACTAAGGGTGCATAAAGAGTCACTGGTTTTTGCTACAGCTGAATTCAGTCAAATTATTACCTTACCAAAATTTACTGACATACGATACTAAGATTAAAATATTGTACTTTTTTAAACCAAACCTTGTTTCCAGACTGGGGAATGTACAGTTGATTCAGCTGCTGAGCAATGTAAATCTTGCATCTACACCAGGATATTGCCTACCTGCATGTCAGAAAACAGGCAAATCCACTACTGCTGTAAAAAGGGAAAGCCCCAATGCTCACTGGTTGCTGGTGCTTTTGGCGCTCTTATTTTTGGTGCCTGCTCAAGTAGTTCAATACTTACTGAAACACAGGTAAGCAATTTCAAGTATAGGCATGAAAGGGTTACACAGAAACAAAAATGCATCAGGACTGGGGGGAGCGTGGGTGTGAAAAATAGACATTTATATAATTTCTGACTTTTTGCACATTTCACACTCATAGAATTTGAAAATACCTTCATTTTTTAAACAGCAAATTTGCAGATCATTAGCTGGTAATGTGCACTACTGCCTTTGGGTCTTTTGAAAACAAAAATGAAAAATGATCTAATTAAGCCTGGTCTACTGGTTGCAGCACATACCAGAGATCCAAGTTTGACTACTGATTCCAGTGCTTGTGCTGCCAAGGTTTGGACTGCAATACTGTGGTAGTGACACACAGCAGCAGATGGGAGCAGGATTATCGAACACTTTTAAAATGAAATTTTCTGATGAAACTCTGATGTTTGAGTGACACAATACAGAACACTTTCAGGCATTTGATCCAAGAAGCTGCTGTGAAAGATGTTTCTTCAGGGAAGGTATAATAAAAGAAATGGACATGGGACCTCTGAATTTCTTAATACAGAGACCATCCTGGGCATTTTAGTAATCACTGGACATTGTTTTTGTAGCATAGATTCTATGGTTATTATGGTTATATGACACAGTTTTTCACCCTGTATAGCCCAGTCTCTCTAATATTCCAACTCCATCATTCATGCAGTCTGGTATTTATTTTATTAATAGTCATTCATTTGTAGATTTTTATATTGACTAAAAACTACCATACTGCAAAAGGTGAAGCATTTGATGGACAGGTTAGCAGAACTCTAGACAGCTAAGGTGGCTTTTTGCTTTGCCACTTTCTTTCCTGCTACTCATACCCAAATACATATGACTTGAAGTTTGTGAACTCTTTAGTTCTGCATATGCAACAAGTGCTAGAGCTCCAGTGCAGAAGAGCAGGTTCACAAAACGCAGGTCAGGTCATCTGATACTGCTCCTGCACTGAGGGACAGTGAAACACGGGGCCTCAGCAGACAGGGCTTCTACCAACCGATCAGACATCCCTGCAGCCTTCAGTGTCTGCTGTTAATAAAAATTTAAATTTGCCCTGTCTCTGTGACTCTCAGAAGCACTAAAAGTCTAATTACTGCCTTCATTCTTCTATTGGCATGGAAAGGAGAACAAAACTGTCACTTGTATGCCAGAGAAAATTAATCCCAGTTCTACAAATTACAGAGATTTATTAATGTTGTAAATGTGTTTCTTCACACACACACCCCGCCCCCCCCAGTTTGACTGCTGCGTTCTTACAGTCCTTTCTCTCTCTCTCTCCTAAAATTGTCAGCATGGGAGACAGGTTTTCTCTGACATGGACACTTGTTCTCCAAAGACTGAGATCCCTACTTTCATCTGACTCTACATACTAAACTGCTTTCTGGTAGCAACCACTCTCTGCTGAATTTTAGCAAACTAAATAGTCTCTTCTAAGTGTGTCTAAGCAAAGATGGACTTAACAAACTTTGAGCCATTAGCATCTGTCTTGGCAATTATACAGCAATTTAGGAGAGCCATTAAGGTCCACTGGATGAATAAGCCAGGTTTCAAACTGTTTCTTAAAACATATTGTTAAAACAATGGAGAGTAACTTTTACAATGGCTAATTCAATATCACAGGTCTTGGAGAATACACAAGAACATCCCTTGCAATATTTTGTCGTGAACTAATGTAAAAATTACTTGGCCTCATAGAGCTAAGTGAATCTGAATTATCATACTTAGCTCTGAATAATATAAGAGCTTTCAAAGGAGATTTTCAACTAGGTTCTGCTTTCAAATCTCGGGCCAACTGGTGGGCTTTCTTTCATATACACATTCAGTAGAGGATCATAAATCAGACATATAAATTTGTTGCTTTATTTGTAAAGTCTCTGTTCAGTTATTGGGTAAGAAGTTAAATGCTCATGTTTACCTTCCTTCATCTTTTGTGATAAGACTGCGCGTTTCTCAGTAAAACAGTTAATGTTTTGTGTGATTAAAAACGTCTTAATTAAGAGCCTTGCAGTTTACAAGTTAAGCTTCATCTCAGTATCTGGCAAAAAAAAACAACAACCCAGGTATTAACAGAGAAGCAACTAGCAACTCTACCAGTCTTCTATGGTAATTTGTTTTACTCATTGACCATCAAATATAAAAACTATGTGATTAAGATTCAGAATTTTGAAGCACATCAACTTGAAGGGATGAGACTGTTCAAGAGAAAGAGCCCCTTGTTACCAATTTCATAGCCCTGAAAAAATATCAGATCTGCATAGATTATATGATTAACAGATGTAATTCATTAACAGAGTAATATGCTTGACATTTAAAACTTTCCATTTTACTTGGTAATGGGGTTTTCTAAGGGTCAGCACAAGAAGACAGGAATCTTTATATGCTTGTAGAAAACAGAAGGGATCAGATTCCTCTCAATGAGATCAGCTGAGCCCCACTGAACCCACTGGGGCCGCGCAGAGCCTCACCAACTGCAAATATTGCCTACCATTCTAGGGCTACCTCTCTCCTACAGGGAGATGGGGTAGTCTTGCATTTATTTATACTTGTTCATGGCAATGCAAATGCAGACTGTTTTGTATTTGGGGAAATTCAGTTGCTTAAGAGACACTTTCTAAGAATTTTCTGTATTTTTCCTTTTATAAACACAAGGTTTTTATGTTTATCAAACTGAGAACAGTCAGTGAAAAAAGAAACATCTTTATACTTGGTGAAATACATAGGGTTAGAAAACATGCAAAAAGGTGTACAGAGAAACTTTAAAAGAGTGTTAGTTTAAATACTATGGACAAAATTCAGTCAAAAGGTGGGATGCAACATATCAAAAGTCCATTTCAAGAAAACAAAAACCCCTTCTCTTTAAATATTGTTACTGTTTTGCATCAAAATGTAGAACTTAACATTCTTTCTTTTAAAAAATTAAAAATATATATATGTATAACAACAAGCAAGAAGACAAAACACATCAAAAATGGGAATTAAAAAAAAAAAACCTCTTCAAAAGAAGACAAGAAGTCAAAAAAAGAGGGGAGAAAAAAGATTTTCAGGGATCCTTGTCATGCAAATCAGTTTGGCGGCAAAAAAATACCTTCATCTTCAGCACCGTCATTATCACCTAAATCATCTGTCTGTTTCTTTGTAAGGGGACCTAGGATTGAGAACGGAGAAAATGGAGGAAAAAAGACAATTCAAGAATATACAAGACTGAGGAAAAAAAAAAACAGTGAATATTAAATTCCCATGGATGTTTCAAGAAAAACATTTGCAAGGAGGGAAAAATTAGCTTATAACAACCAATTTTTCATTACATTTTTCAAACATTACAGCAAAAACTTCCCTAGGGGGTATGGCTATTAGAAACATCTAGCACAAGAATCAAAGTGTGCCCAGTGCATTATTGTTTTTAAATGAAGAATCAAAGCTTGTTTGCTAAAACCATACCCACCACAAACTATATTTATCCACTTAATTTAACTGTTTTTGTTGTTATTGTTATTAGGAATACTGGAGACTAGAACTGCCAAATTACCTCTTGCATTTGATGCACTAAGGTGGCTAATAAATGTATTGGCAGTTGGTTAAAACAATGCTTTCTGAAATGTTAATTCACATTTCTAAATTCAGCCATTTAAGCTCATGCTTTACAGAGATAAGCATGGATTTGGCTTTTTTTTTTTTTTTTACATGCTCATTACATTCTCTTTTAAATAGAACTGTAGATTCCCTTGAAACCTTTGACTGCCTGCTGAGATATTTGTAAACAAACATGAAAATCCATATGTAAACTAGAAACAAGAGTGAAATCCTAGACCAACTGAAGACAATGATTTTTGCCATTGATTTCAGTGTGGCCAGGGTTTTACCCACAGTATATAAGAGTTGCATTGAATATGAGAATTGAAGTTTTAGCTTGGGCAAGACACACAATATCATAATTCCTTACTTCTATAAATGAACAGGAAGACAAAATTCTTTCATGCCCAGCATCTGTATTATTAACAAGTATTAATAGATTCATCGTATTTTCCAATGGGAAAAATGCCCACTCCTTTACTGAGTAATAAAAATATACACCAGAAGGAAAGTCAAAGGCTATTCCGAAAATACTTCCACATCATATATTTTACACACTTACGCACAAACAAAAAACAGTTGGAACTCAGCATTATCTTTGCTTTTTTTTTCAGACCTCTCATTTCCATGACATTCTGTAATTTGCATGCAAAAAAGCAATCAGTACAAACACAGGACTAAGTAACAAAAAAAGAAAAAGCCAGCCAAGCACAGAGTAGAAAACAAGAACTTTTTCATGCATAAAATAGCAACGGACAAAAACAACAACAAAAAAAGAGATGAACAGTATGTGTTGATACTTGCAGTAGATGTAGGCAAGAGACATGCATTAACTCTAAGCACTATGGAGTATTAAAACATTTGTATTTAAAAAGCTCTCTCTAGCTCTGCTATTTTACAAGATATTAGTCATTCGGCATTAAACTTGTTGTTTATAGGCAAAATACCATGTATTTGAGTGATGCATTTAAAAAAAAAATTCATCAAATGTTTGTACCAGGTGCATGGATTTGAGAAACAGAAACAACCCATGAAGTACCATGAGATTGTAACCGTGAATGTAGGAACTGGATCGTATCATTGAAAATCAAAGCTGAATACCTGAATTACTGCATCAATCAGGAGTATAGTTTTAAACTCATTCTAAATACAGAACACTGGAATTATACATCATAAATTAAACACAAGCATTTTTATAGTCACACCTGCAACAATCATTCTGTTTAGTACACAGCCTTGGTGAATGCAATAGCTTTTCCTAATACAAGCCCTGAATGTAATCTTTACGAAATATGGCATCTAGGTAATGTGACCCCGTCCAAAGACACACATTCAAATGTCTTGCTGCCCATCATTCTCATGCCATAGCAACTTTACTTCTGAAAGAGTAAAACTAAAAAAGTAAAAGAAGTATGCAAAGAATAACAATAGTTTCCTGGTGGGTTTTCAGCACAGTGAACACGAGGAATAAACTTAAAATTCTAAGAACTATGCACTTAATGGATCTATGCACTTAATAATGGAGAGCCAGACACAGCCAAAGATATATATCTGTACACATTTTTAATGGCTTCTTGTTATCTTTTAAATTTTTAAAAGTCACCAGAAAGGAACAAAGTAGTGTCGGTAAAGGCAAATAGCAGACATTTCTCCAAATACCTTGCACAGGGAGGGCAATTTCTTTTCTGGATGAAACTAAGACAATGAATGTTACATTTTTTTAATAGCTGGCCTTTGTGGGGTATTTTGTACAGATCACGGTTCCAGATCTCAACAGCAGTTACATAGTGCATCAAACATCTAACAAAAATGACTGCTCTCATACCATCTCTGATTTTACAATATGGTGAAACGTAATTGAGGCTAGCTATTAAAAATAACCTGGGTAACTTTAGTATTTATGCAGGTGCGAGTTTCTCTGAAAACCACAAAAAAATCAGAACATCTTCCTTTTAATCATGTTGTAATACACATTATACACAATTCCTTTTGCAAAGGGGCTGACCTATTTTTAAGCTGTCATAGATTAAACATTCTTTCTAATACAGCTATATATGTATTTCCCAGTCCAGGGCTTCTGCTTGCCGCATCCCCTAGGCAGGAGGGCTCATCCCTGATGGAGATGTGTGGCAGACCCGCAGGGCACCAGTACCAGTATTCCATTAAGAAAGAGGTGAGACGCGATTTCTGCAAAAAGTTCGCTCCAGTCTGCAAATATAACGGACCACATTCATTACATCTCAGCAATAGCTAGCTCACAGAAACCCAGACCAAAACACTTCAGACAAATTTTCTGCTTCCTGGAGTTACAATGCTATCTGAGGTCTAGAAACCAAAGCAGGGTTGGGTCCTCACGCACCAGGCGTGAAGCTACTTACCTATTGTCTGTACTTTACCTATGCATACGGGGATGCTGTGAAACTTAATTCACATTTGTAAATTGCTCTGCAACCCCTAAAAGAGGCATGAGCTCAAGACCCACTGTGCACACGGCTGTCTAAAATGGCATACAGCAACATCAAGAGGTACCATCTTGAATCCTCAAAAAGGAAGCAGAGCTCTGAGCTTGGCTGTTTATGTTCTGTGTTGTCCGTTTCATATCTGTCTGCTGAAGAAATTTTCTGAAATCATGAAAGTAGTATTAAGAGAAGTTCTGGATTAGATTTCCATCTGTTTCAGCAGTAATGCTTATTCTAAAATCAGTAAGAAATAGCTTTTGCTTCTGATTCTCTGGATAACAGACTACATTGACTAACAGCATCGCTGTGTCTGTATGATCATAAAGACTGACTGATACCTTGAGTCCTTGCAAGGGAAAACATGCCAAAATCACTATCAGATAAACAAAATAAAATCTTACGGAAAGATCCTACAAAATGTAACAGCAATAGCCTTTTTATGCAATAACAAATCAGGACTGCTTAGCAGGTGTATAATTTTCAGTTTTCTGCAGGTTAAAATCAGTATTCTACAGGAAGTTTATGATTTCATAAGTTAAATGTATCCCTCAACTAGATTTATGTGTTTCACCCTGACTATTTATTTCATACATGATTCTTTAGGTTTCTTACCTGAAGATAATATTAAAATCGTGGAACAGAAAAGAATTTTAGAAATACTGATACTAAAACATGATGGACTACAAGCCAATGAAGCAAAAAATAGTATGCATTTTACAGAATTATGATCACCAAAAGTCTTTTGTCCACAATTACTTTCCACTGTTGTTCCACTATAGCTTCTCTTCACCTTTCGTGAAGGCCCACTTATTCCTCATCTTTGAGCACTTCACTTACAAAAATTGGCATTCATTACAAAAAGACTGTTTTACTGTGTTTAAGACCCAAGCCTTCAAATAGATACGCTGCCTTACTGTGCTGGCCTAAATTTTAGCTAAATTTTATATAACAAACATTAAATACCAACAAAGTAATCAGGTACCATAAATAATGGGGGGGGGAGGATACTAAAGCCTCTAAAATGCTGATGCAAAGATGATTTACTTATGAAGAGGCTCTCTAAGGTTTAGTCTCATTTCATCCCGTGTTGCAGCATACCAATAATTCTCATTAACATTAATGGGAAAGTAGACCCCTAAGTCAGTTTAAAAAGGGGAAGAAGCGATTACTGGATTTTATGTCTCCTACAGGCAATGAATAGTCTTGCTACAAAAGCTAAAGGAATGCTATGTGCAGAAGAAGCTCCTAATGAACTCTCTACTCATTTAATTCAAAAATAGTTCTTACATTATTTAAAGTATTACTCAAATATTTATTGTATTTGTATTGCAGTCAATGCTAAGGAATTAACAAGATGCATTTTTAAATCTCAATAGTTGACTACTGTATGCTTAGAGGTGGCTTTCCTTTGCTCAGAATAAGAGAAATAACATAGCTCCTGTCCAGTTAGCTAAAGAGTAATTATGTGCTCAGAAATAATTTAAGTCCAGCCATATTAATTCTGTTTTTTATCATTCCCTTTGATGAAGGACTAAGGTACTTTAGCTCCCAAATACATTAAAGCTGATTATAAATTCTCTCTTTATGGCCTTGATTCGGCAGAAATTATCTGTGGCCTTTTGGACCGCATGTGTGTGGGAGGCATGGAAGCTGTGGATGTCATTAGCTTTTTGGCCTGGGAAAGCTATTCATCATAAAAAAAGTCATACTGCAAGTTGACATCATTTTGTAAAACAACAGTACGAATCCTCTAAACTTAATAAATCTGTGCTTATGTATACAGCCATTGTTCAGGCCAAAATGTTCTCCTTCGGTAATGAGAAAAGTGGGAAAAAAAAAAAGGACCTTTTACATTAGGTTACAGGTATTTTAAAAATTCACTAAGTGGGTTACAACACCATGGAATCTGGTAGTGCACACGTCAAATACAATTACATATTTATCTTTAAACTTAGATAAGTGCCACCATCCATCCATTGCTATTTCTTCTTCATTAGCTCATTTATTTAACTGAGCATTGAAGATCTGTGAAGTGAAATTATCTCACCTTTTCAGGGCCTACCCTCAGATCCAAACATAAAATAACAAGTCCTTTGTTATTTCAACTATCATTTTT